GAATAAAAGTGGTGTGAACTGGCAGGTTAATTATCAAAAGTGCTAAATTTGAAATTGAATGCACTGCATGGAGTTCTATGAAGAATTTGCGAGTAATTTTCTACACACGCTTTCGAGTATTTCTTTGACCCGCGCGTAATTTGCGTGGAAATTGCGTGCAATATGGCGGATTTACAAGCATAATATGCTCGTGTAATGCTGCTATTCTTTCAGTCAGTACTGTGTGCAGTATTGAGTTAATAACTAAAGCAAATGTCCTTTATTCCATTACGACCTCAATTATGAAAAATGAGTTTAGAAAATCTACATAAAATGGGATATGTTACCTCCTTGAGTTAGGTGTACTTCAGTCAGGGAAAAGTTATTTTCATTGGCATCCTGTGCATAAGAATTAATTTCATAGTTAACAAAAAACCAGAGGAATTCCATTCAAACTTCACTCAATTAGTATTTAATTTAGTTTAAGTTGCATTAAAACTCAGTCCTGTGAAACAAAAAGAAAGATTGAAAATGTTCCAAAAGATTGGACTACATAATGAGGAGAGGAGTGATGGAAGCGAACTGAGAGAAAGGATGAGAGTGAGAAAAGAGAGGGAAGGAAAAGGAAGCATGGAAGGGACAAAGTGAGGGAAAGACGAAGGGTGCAAGGGACAGAGAGGGAGCAGTGAAAGAAAGGAGGGAGGAATTGAGAAACAATCAAGAGAAAAATGAAGGGATGTGAGTGGGGGGCTAGGAAGGGAGAAAGCAAGGAAGAAAGGGATGGAGGATAGCACCCTAAAAATTGATGACATAATGCACTGAAACTTGACACAAACCTTCAATCCAAATTTTTCTAAAGCAGCACTTATCACATCTGTAACAGTTGTCTGTGCAGTCACTGGGATTGTCTTGAATGTTCCTGCCGCACTGTATTGGGTATGTTACAAAATAATTCGTTCACTATATTTAAATACCCACAGCTGAGGAAAAAATGCAGTTTTGTCCTTACATGGAGCATGTGGGTGGTTAAAAAGTTGAGAAAAAAAAAAGGCAATCAGTACACACAGATTTTCAACATTCTAAGAGGGGGATATCTCTCAACTTACCAAAGAAATGTTTAAGAAATTTGAAGAAATGTTTAAGCATCAACAAATTATGCAGACGGGACTGATCAATTTTCATGAACTAGAGCCCTGCAGAGGTATCACAAAGGTCATGGTTTGAAATCCCATATGGGCCTAAATTTTTTTCAGGGCTTATTTCCACTACTCCATAAGTAGGGTTTATTACTAACAGGATCACTTTCCTACAAAATTGAAGACTTCTTAACCCGGAGAGTACTTTGAATATTTCTGCCAGATTCCTGCAAAATCACACCAATCTCCCAATATGACATAACTCTCAGAGACATGGGCTCGGCCCTTAGACGCCAAAGAGTGACAAGCATCTACTTCCTCCTCAGAGTACCCCCCTGAGTCACACCTTAAGGTCACGAGAATATTGAAAATGATCACCAACTAAAGAAGCTATTGATTGTTAAGCAAATTCTCTTTGTCAGCACCATGGGAAAGTTGTACAAAACAGTATGAAGAGTATGTAATTACTGATGTCAGGGTATAAAAGGGTTAAGAGTATGGCCTGATTCAAATTGATCCTTTTAATGACATAAGCATTGTACCAGCCAATTAAAATTTAATAATGATCATAATTACAATTACTAACTTTATCACTCCAGGGTAAACACTTATATATCCTTTCCATAGTGCACCCTGCAGTGAGGAATTGATCAAATGAAAAGAGAACAAGTTGAAATATCCAAAAGCAAGAACCATGCTGACTTGTAACCTTGTTTACAGGAAAAATATTATTTCAAAAAATCTAATATGATAGGAGTACAGCTAGGAAAGGGAATGGCTGGTTGACTCAGAATAACTAAAAAGCTAATCAGGCTGGGTAACATACTGGTAAGAAATCAAACAGTAATACTTAGATTTTGGGTAGTTGACTACAAATGAAAGAAGAAAAACAAAAAGGAAAAGAAGAACAAAAAGTGTGAGGTAAAAATAAGATAAAAAAATAATATCCAGAAATAAATTAACATGGTAATAATTAAGAAGAACACAAAGTATTACATACACTGTTAC